CACGTTTGGATAGTTTACTAGGAATGAGTTGCATAAAGAAAGAATGCCTTTTTATTGGTTCGGGGAAAGAATTCACGAATAGCAGAGGGAGGAGAATCACTGAGCTAACACCTTTCATGCAATCCAGAGACTAGGAAAAAAGCTGGAATTCTTTTTTTAAACCAGCTCGGACACCGGCCACCTGTACCGTTGGAACTAATACGAGTTAGGTATCTAACTCTCTCAGCAGCTGTGATCTTGATAGTGGGTTACTCTAAATGGGCAAGGCCTTCAAAATGAGGAGGGGGAAACGGGCTTGATGAGGTGGAAGAATTCTGCGTTCAATCCTGCCAGATACTGTAAATGTTAACTGGTAGGCTCTTTTCAGGTATTCGGGGAATGTCCCTGATTTCTAGAGCTTGTAGTTAGCAAAGGAATGGCAGAGGGAAGCTGCTGCTGTAAACAAAATGAGGAAAGAGATTACTACTTTAAAAATTGCGTTGTCATTTATGTTAATATGCAAAGAATAAACACATGTGCCTGTACCAGTGAAAAGTGTTAACTAATCCTGAAGAACAAGACCTGCTGCTTTGGAGGAAGTTCAAAGCAGCATTTAGGCAGCTAAAGTTAAACTTCAGGTCTGCTATTACTAGATGATACGGTCGTCCTCTGTCTGTTAGTCATCTTGTGCAATAAAATGCATGTCTGTAATGTAGAGAAGTCTGTAAAATTTAATTTTTCATGGCAGTTTGCTATTTGATAGCTTTGTAGTTGTCACCTGACGCTGACTTCTTTTAATCTTTCATATGGTTCGTAGAGTGAATTTCAAGATTCTGTCTCATTTCAATGCGATACAGTCAAAATTAGATGATCACTGAAGTGTTTTAATTCTTCTGAGCTCTAAATTGTTTAATCCTGTTTATATTTTGCTTTTGTAATTTTTTGAGTATTCTTTTTGTTTTTAACTCTCATTATTAATCTGTTCGTTGTTGTATAGCCCTGATTCCCTCTTCAGTGAAGTCTGTATGGCCGCATATCAAGTCCCAGCAAGATTTTGATATCGCAGCTGTTGGCTGCCTTGGCACAGCCACGCTGTGGTTATGCTGCATATTGTCCATATGTTGTTTGTATGATCAGGAAAGTCACAAATAGTTGCCAATAAATCATCTTCTGGGGCTTGCTGGAGCTCTTTTCCATTCTTTGTGCCTTTCATTACGCAGCAGCTTCCTAGAGTTCCAGCTCCGTATCCACGGGGGACATGAGACCTTGTGCCGGTCTGGCTGTGGCAGCTTGTCGTTGCGCTCAATGAGTCTGGTCTCCAGTCACGGATTGCTTGGCAGTCTGTGTGTGGAAAGATGTTTGTTCCCTGTTGTTCTGCAGTCTGTCAGAACCCTAGAAAAATGATACGCAAGTAATGCGGAGAGTTGGTTTGGCTAAGGGGAGGGAAGGGCATGGCACGGCGCTTCTTACGTGTATTTCCTCTAGAAAGGAACGGGAGAAGTGGAGCCAGTGCAGTCGTCTCTCGGTTAGAACTGTGGTTTTTTTCTTTAGCTGTAGGCCTGCAAGGGCATACTGGTTTGAGCTGTATCGTGTGAAGTGGTTGCTGTTTTGCGTGCGTTAATGTTTTCCATCCTGTAGAAGTATCCATGTAATCTCGTTGCCTCCATTCTACCTCTTGTGCCTGTTTTCTCACCAAGTCTGCAAAATGCACGCTTCCGGCCTGCAGTCCTGCTGCTTCGAGTCACCGCAGTGTGGGCACAGCGGTTGAGTTAGGGCCTGCCCTGGGACGGAGTCAGCCGGGTGAGCATGGGATTGTCCGGGAAGTGGGGTGGGTGGTTTATTGGGTCACATTTCTGAATATGGAAATATGTGGACCTCAAAAAGCTAAAGGAATTTGCTTGGGGGGTGAGTGTGAGACTGAGATGCTGGATGTCTTCCTGAAGTCTGGTGATATCTGCACAAAACCTGTCTTGTTTGCTCAGATGGCTTGGGTAGGGGGTGGTTAACTTCCCCGACCCCTACAAACTGTGGATCTTTGCTTCATGACCAAGGGGCTGCTAGTCTCAGAGCACTGGGAGAGATTAACAGGTAGGCCATGAAAAACAACTGCTCAGGCATCCCCAGCTCCTTCATTCACATGCACATGCAGCTGTATTTTTTTAATGAAGTAGAAGTATCTGCCCCAGCAGTCCCTGCTGGCTTGGCTTCTCCCAGTTTTGTAGTTATTTACTCAGTAGACCTTGTGTCAATACCATCTTGATGCTTGTCACTTGATGTAGGCAGTGATTTCAGAGCTGCAATTAAAGTTTTTGTGGGCAGCACAGGGCTCTTCAGGTGTGTATATTCTGCAGGTGTGTCGAGGAGGAGGAGGAAGCTGTTGTGTGGGCTGTAGCAAAACCGACCGTATTTGTTTCACCTTGTTGCTGCGTGGGATAACGCTACGGTACCTGAGGTGTTTAAGCGATTATGCCTGCAGAATCCCAGGGCAGTCAGTATTGTCTGTGGGAGCTGAGACAGTGAGGTGGCCCAGGAGTACAGATCTGCTGGTGGTTACGTGGAAGCCATGTCTGACTGTCCTTTAGATATGACAAAGTGTCTGAGAGCTCCAGTAAAAAGGAAGAACTGTTTAATGTTTGTTTGAAGTCTTTTTTTGCATTATGTTCCTAAGCAAACTTCTTGATGTATTTTCCTGTCCTTATTCTTTTCTCAATTGGTGTTCATAATTCATTTGTTCAGTACCTCAGCATGGATGAGATGCCTTTTTTTTTTTTTTAATAAAAATGTTCTGGTGACACCTAAAGACCCTGTGCCTGGATAGGACTGTAGGAGAAATATGATAAATAGCAGAGACGTATGCTAGAAGTCTCACTGGTAAGCAATGTGTAAAGAAAACAAATTCATAGCAAAAAAAAAAAAGCAGCACGTTATTTACATGAGTGCTTTATATGGAAAAAGTTAGTGGGATTCTTATGTTGAAATCTGTGAAGAATGCTCAAACTGAAAAGGCACAAGAACAACTCTTAGAACAAATAGGTAAATTTACTGATAAATTGCCAATAGAAAGTGAAGTTCACCAGTATCTCTGAAGGAACTAAAAATTGTTCAACTTGTAAATCTGATGTGTCACTGTCTTAACACTTCCCTTACAACAAGAGTCGGTGGTAGTTTGTGTGATGCCAGTTTTTTTAAGAGGGCTCCAGGAGAGGACCCAGGAACTGCCTGGTTGTTGGCAGGTTATTAGTAAACGGATAAAGGTCGTCTGGATTATAAAGTTGCTGGATTTTTTCAAAAGTCTTTACAGAGTCTCTAACCAAAGGTTTTAATTGCGTTACAGTTTAATTTTTCAAGGGAGATCTTACTGTGAATTAATAACTAGCTAAGGAAGAAACAAAAGTGACTAGACAACAATAGAGAATCTGTCTGCTTTCGTAATGGAAAGAGGTTATTGGAGGCACTGTGCAGCTGCACGTTGAGCGTGTTCATAAAGCGGTTTGGAGAAGAGGGGTGAACTGTGAGGTGACAGTTTCATCCGAAAGCTGTGGAAGGATTTTATGACACTAAGGAAGTATGCAACAAGGTGGTAAAATGAATTGATTGACAATAAATGCAAAGCAATGCCTACGCTGGAAAGAAATTACTAAAAAGATAAATATACAGTGAATGGCTCAAAAGAAGTTGCCACTCAGACCAGAGGTCTTTGAGCTATCTGTAGGATCTTTATAAAAGTCAGCTAAACAGTAGGCAAAGTGAGTTTAAATGTGTTTAACTTTCTAAGTGCAAAGAATTAAAAAATCTTCTATGTAAGCTCATGGTTCACCCATTGCTTGAATACTTTTTATAGGCTTACTCCTTTTTTTTAATTTAAAAAAGGGTGGGAGTGGATTTCTGGGATGTACAGAGCGATATGAAGGAATTGTGCAATGGTTTCATACAGGAAGATGTTAGAGTAGGACTCTGGTGCCTAGAAAGGGAGGTGGCTGGGGGTTAGATACCATTAAGGGCTGTAAAATCAATCAATAGGTGATGAGTACTTACTTTCTCATGGTGTAAGAATTTCATTTAGTATCCCTTACTTGGTCAGACAGGAGATTTAAAGCAAAAGATATTTTTTTGTGGAATTTATAGTTAAACTGTGCAAGTTGTTACCATGGGTGTGAATGGGGAGCAGGTTGGATGCTTTCAAACAGTGAGTAGATAAATCTGTAGCTCCGTAGAGAGATGCTATGCAGAAAGACACTGCCTGTGGTTGAGGAAGTCCCCTACGTCGCAGCAAATCTTGGAAGCGGGAAAGGTGCCACGGGGATGTACTTTCTGTGTTAGTTCTTCTCTACAGCTGCTGCTCCCCACCCTGAGGCAGGGTGCTGGGTTAGGTCAGTTTTACGCCTTACCTGGCACGGCTGCTGCTGTTCTCTGCAATTACCACTTTATGCCCTGTAGTGCATCAATACAGGGCATCGGATACTTAGTCATGCAGTCTGCTAGTGAGAAAGTTCTCACCGTATTATTTAAGTTCTTTGGGTGTATGCATATTGTGTCGCATGAACATTTGTGCTTAACAGAAAATCAGGAATTACAGAATCACAGAATCACAGAATGGTAGGGGGTTGGAAGGGACCTCTGTGGGTCATCTAGTCCAACCCTCCTGCAGAAGCAGGGTCACCTGCAGCAGGCTGCACAGGACCTTGTCCAGGTGGGTCTTGAATATCTCCAGAGAAGACTCTACAACCTCCCTGGGCGACCTGTTCCAGTGCTCCGTCACCCTCAGAGGGAAGAAGTTCTTCCTCGTGTTCAGCTGGAACTTCCTCTGCTTCAGTTTGTGCCCATTGCCCCTTGTCCTGTCACTGGGCACCACTGAAAAGAATTATCCAAGGCATATGACATTAAAGGTCTCGAAGGTTTGGATATTCCTATTCCAATAGGCTTTGGAGTAGTTGATAGTAGGTAAATGTTCTGGAATGCTTCTGAATTGTTCTCCTGTCCCAAGCTGCTTCATACCTGCAAGATCTACCACTTACACTTACTTGACATGTCTGAAACTTAAAAATGGCGTGAGACTTCCAGTGTATTAGCGTGCAAAAGAATCTTAAAGTCACTGAAGGCAGAAATTGAATACCTGACATAAGAATTTCTTGGTAGTAAAAGAACGCTTTCTTGTGGAGGGGTGAAAAAAGCCAATCTGATATGTTGTGTGGGAATTGCTATGCGATGAAATGCCAGAAGAGTGTGTGCTTAAGAAAGCAGGAGCTCACGCCCTGAGGAATAAGCATGCGAAGTGATTTGTGAGAGGGAGACACCATTTTATATAGATGGGTGTGAAACTTTTTTATGGGAAGAATTCAAAGGTATACTTGGAAAAAAACCTGAATAATTTAATGTAGATGAAAAAAAACCCACAAACTGAGTATGGAGTTGCAGCACAAGGACGGAAGTTCTGAGTGTTGGAAAATAAATCCTAGCTTTGCCTTTTGCCCTGTGTGTTGTCCTCCATCAGAGCAGTTCCGAATTGTTCTCGCCGTGTCTGGCAGGAAGCGTGTGAGCGGCAGTTGCTCTGGGGAAGTAGTTCAGATTGGGCTGTGTCGTAGTAATGCCTGTTAGTGCGCTACCCGGTTAGGTGCAAACAGAATTTTGCTGTCTTCTGATTATGAGTCTTATTCTTTAATTCTTTGCTTTCCAAAATGCTGGCTTGTGCTTGTTTTCCTGTGGTTGTGATGTGAGGAGGAAAAATAATGTTTACAGTGTGGAGTGCCGATCGTTTATTTATGCAGAGGCATTTGTAAACACAGACTATTAATTTTGTTCAGTGGCTGGATGATGTTAGGGTGAAATCGTATTAGGTCTTTAGTGTTTGTTTTCTTTTTACCTGCCTTCTTAGTGAGGTAGGAAGTCCTGCCTGAACACTGGTGAAGGGTGCAAAAGAAATGTTCATAAAAAGCTGCACTTAGAGTATATGGTAACTTCGTTCACTGTTGTTCTCCCATGAACTAGAACTTCTCAGGCAGTCTGTCCTTTCTGTTGTGCAGGGCCAAATTTAACATGCCAAAGCCATCTGTGGGCATAGCTACAGAGTGTTTTGGTCCTATGGCAAGGAAAGCAATGTGGTTGTACAAGTCACAGGCTGAAGGTTTCAGTGTTCAGCAGTTGATAAACCCCTCACATACAGAGCGGGAGCAAAAGGACTTGCGAGGAGCTACTTGAGGAGCTACTGGAAAGAGTCCAGCAGAGGGCTACGAGGATGGTGAGGGGACTGGAGCATCTCCTACGAGGAGAGGCTGAGGGAGCTGGGCTTGTTCAGCCTGAAGAAGAGAAGGCTGCGGGGGGACCTAATATATACTTACAAATATCTGAAGGGTGGGTGTCAGGAATTTGCCCAGGGAGGCTGTGGAGTCTCCTTCTCTGGAGATATTCCAGACCCGCCTGGACGCGGTGCTGTGCAGCCTGCTCTGGGTGACGCTGCTTCGGCAGGGCGGTTGAACTGGGTGACCCACAGAGGTCCCTTCCAACCCTGACCATTCTGTGATTCTGTGATATCAAAGCAAGTTGCTACCAGACTTCAGTTTGTTTGCAGACTGTGTATTAGTGTGTAAAAAAGTTTTCAAAGAACTCTTTTTCTAAAATAAAAAACTCAGTCATGGGTTTAACTTGTAATAACTGCTCTCTCACTGCGTGTCTGCTCAGGAACATGAAAGTTCTGGATCAGCTGAACTCGGGTGCGGAGCCGCAGCGTGTCAGTGTGGCTTACTGCTGGAGGGAGCGCTTCACCCCTTGCCTGCTCCATCATGGCCCTTCCAGAGCTCTGTGTTCTTGCTGCTGCCTTTGTGGCTGTGCAAGCCGGACTGACGTGTCTGAAGCCTGCTGCTCTTGGGAGGAAAGTCGCAAGCTGTTTTTCAGATGTCCGGGCTGCCTCCCTCGTGTGGCGTGCTGTCCCGGGAATGCCACTGTCAGCACAGTGGAAGGACTGGAACCATCTCTTTCAGCATGAGCCTGTGCATGGGTCGTCTTCGTGATTGTGAAATTGTTGCCTATAGACTGCAGAGGAATATTCCTGCAGTAGTGCTTTTGCTTTTTTAACTTCTTCCCAATTTTTCAACAAGAGTGTGGCTTACCAAAATTGGTTTAGAACCATGTGGTGTGTCTGTGTAGGAGGTGAGTCCAGACTTAAAAATTAGGGAATTGAAGCAGAGTGTTGCCACCCAGGAAAGATGTTTTTGGGTTTATGACATTGTTATATGAAAAACACAAGCTGAGCACTTTGTAGTGATCAGAATCCCAAACTGAGTGTTACTCATTATTAGGAAAATAATAGGGGGCAAAAAGAAGACATTTTATGCAAGTAAATCAATGGCACATCTACTCCTAAGTGCTGCATGCAGCATTTTTACTCCTCTGCCCCTTCAGAAAGGACGCAGGAGAATTTTAGAATGTGCAGGCAAGGCAACAAAGGTAATCAAGTCGTGGAAGGGCTTGGATGTGAGGCTGCATTTTTGAGACTGGGAGGGTGAGGGAGGGATAACAGTGGGAGCATGCAGAATAACTGGGAGCAGCAGTGGGAACAAGCGGTTGGAAATGCTGAACAAAAGAAGCAGCTGGGTCTCTGTGTGTCACGCAGTGAAGCAATGGAACTCAAGTTGTGTTCTGCAGAATATTGTTGATTCTACAAGTTTGCCTGGGTTCCATATAAAACCAGGGTAGTTTTTATTTCTGGCTTTGGAAGTTCTTGGGCCACAAATTGTTGAAGACTGCAAGAGAATTCTGAGGAACTGTTTCTGCATGCTTGCCCTGTCCATACACTCTTCCCTAAGCATCTGCTGTTGTCAGAGGCAGGGTACTGAACCGGGTGGAGCTTTGATCAGACCTGGTATGGCCATTTCTGATCTGCTTTCTGCCTTCTTTGACTGCCCATTTAGGACAGTAAAAGGTTGGCAGATCATGTTCTGCATGTGAATTTGTAGGTGAAGTTGAATACTGCTATAGAAATGATTGAGACTGCTGCCAGTACGACAGACTCAGAATAGAAACATGAACTTAAGCAGATGTTGTTAGAAGGATTCATAGAATAGGTCCTACTTTATTGCAGAATAGCTTCCTAGGTAGACACGCCTTGTGCCTCAAGTTTTATTCAGACTTTCAGCTCTGAAGGCAGGCTCAAAGGATAGGCTTATGCAAACAAAGTTTTGGGATTTGTAGTGGGGTGTGATTAGCAGCAAGTTAACAAGTCTCCAGTGATAGCACATGGTTAATCTGTGTTTGTCCTTTTTCACTAAGAGTAAATAACTGCAGAGTAAAGCAACGCAACCAGATGACAGCTAGGAAGCAACTAGTGCATGCTGTATTGGAACTTTAGCTTGCAGTAATAAACTTTTGCCCAGTTACTTAATTTTACATGCCATTTAAATGCATGGTTTTAGTTATTTTCCTTTTTTTTTTAATAGTTCCAAGTTGCTCATAATGAAATTTCCGAAGCAAGCTATTCATCAGAGGCTTTTTGCAGGATTTTAGCAAAGTATTTTTCTCTCTTAGGGTAGGAAGAGTGTTTTATTATGTATGGATAGGGGATGCAGCAGTAAATGGATAGAATTACACTACCTTTTATTTGAAAAGCTTTGAAACCATCATGCTTCTGGCTGACGTCCTGTATGAGTGCTGGGGAGTTGTCCTTTTACTTCGAGGATGTGTATGTTCTTGCACTGGTGTAGTCTTCCAGTGTGGCCAAATAATATTTGCAAAAATGATTTATATGTGCTATTTTGAGACCTGCGCTTCAGCATCTGAAATCTCCAGGGACTGCGTACAGTAGGTGTGTCTCCGTGCGTTGCTTGTAACGCTCGGCAGAGTTTTCAAGTTCTGTTTGTTGTGATTCTGCAACCTTAACTTGCTGCTGGAAGATCACAGTTCTACTACTGTCACCGGTACTGTTGTTAGCTGAAGAGCAGAGGTTGGCGTTAAGGGTTTAAAGGCTCCATCTAACTAAGTGCCTCCCTGTGCACATGTGGATTTGCTGTGTGAGGAAGATCTTTTCAGCATAGGGACCTTACAAGCTGCATTGAAAGAACGAATGCCACATTCAAAGGCCTTATTTATTGCATGTTCAAGTACTGTTCTGGAGATGATTTTCTTACTTCCCTTTGACTGCTTCTGTGATGCTTGTTAGTGCAGTATCTGAATGCATAGTAAACGTTAATTTATTCATATCACAGTAATGTGAGGAAGTGTAATAAATTCATGTGGAAGGCCAGGACAAGACTAAGTATTAACATGTCCAGTAATCTTGATCCTGCATATGTCAGCAGTTTGGGGTAGAATTTCCCTATGCAGAAAGAACATCTCTACTCTTCCATTTCCAAAACAGAATGCTTTGTATGTCTCTGTAAATTACAGCTTACTAGGTGTGAAGATGGGGAACTGGAATATGAGGGGTATACATGGTCTGACTGAAGAGACTTATGTATGAGTTCTGTAGGAAACCAGATTTATAATCCAGACCTGTAGAGCAACATGCAGCTGTCTTACTGTGAGGCCACCTTTACTCATTGCATGTGCATCTCTTTGCTTTTCTGCAGCACGCGAGTCCCTTGCTAACTCTGTGTGCTTCCCAGCCTGTCCTGTGGTGTCGTGTAAGCCGGTTAGTGCAGCATCTGAATGCGCGTCTTTCTGGTATGACAGTGTTCACGATATATGACGCTCCGTTGTGGGAGGACAGTGACCCAGACAGTGTAGCAGACTGCCATGGCAACTTTTTGCAAGTTAGTGTGACATTATCTGTTACCAGAATGCCTTAGTTATATTGGCAGTCTAGAGCAGATGAAAGAAGACTGTAGAAATGCTTGCATAGTCTGGTCTCCCAGAAAGTCAGAAGTCTACTCTGGTGAGCATGATCTAGAAAGTTCAACTGTTGAACGTAATTCTAAAGTTTGGCTTTTGTTTGAGAGCCATTTTCCTCCTGAAAGATACTTGGAAGACTGAATTGCTCTCTAGGTCAAATGGCTCCATCAGTATTCCACCTGGTGAAGAGAAACTACTTGGAGTTCGTA